AGCTGCTCCATTTCCATTTGAAGTAGGTGAAATAGGTTTTATAGCAACTGTAGGACTGTTGCCTTGGTTTGGATTTGAAAATGTTGCATGGTTCGTAAATGTAGCAGTTGCAGTTTGGAGAGTCGTTGACGTTGTGCTAAAAACATGATGATTATATCGATGTCAAAATCAAAAAATTCACGACAAGTTTTGACGAGTACGTATATTTTTAGTCTTATATACCTTTGTTGAGCTAAAACATTAACAATGCACATTAATAAAAATATTATTATTAGTTTGGGATTATTCATTTTAGAATTCAATATTTTTTTAGACATCTTTTTTAGTTTTGTATGTACCGGTGCATGTACATGCACAGTATTTATATCGATATTAACATGTATCGGTATATAGCAATGCACGTTGATCAATTAAGACTCCGTTGCATGCGATAAGCTGTGGCTTCCTCGTTAACATACCAATAAATTAGGAACTTAAATGAAAGTGCATATTTTTAGTGTCTTTTGAGTGCTCTTTGAGTGCACGTACATGTACATGTATTATTTTTTTTTGACTAATTATGGCACACAAAAGAGCGAATACTTGTATGTACATGTATCAGTATAGGAGTACTTTGTGAAACAGTATTTTAAAATCGATTTTTTCATTGCCACATAACTATACGTATACTGCATTTCAAAATGCAAATTTTTTTAAGTGAAACACTATCATTTACAATTCAAGAAATTACTGCGGCACATAATGAGATATTTTTATGAAATGCATAATATTTACATGTACTACCGAAATAAAATATACATGCACATGTACATGTATTTTATAAAAATTTTTCATTTTAGTTGATTATTGATTGTGAGCCGGTTTATGTACATGTATTCCGAAAACATTACGATCATTTATTACTTGATTGCTTCGAAACGTGATCATTTCGGGATAATACTCAGTAGATTTTATTAATAGAAACGGAATAATTATTAGGCGCATTTCAAGCAATGCAAATAGAATGTAAAGAGTTTATTTGATGTATTGCATATCGATATTATCACTTTTGGATTTTATTTATAGAATACTGTATTATCCAATTAGATTCAGTAAATTTCATTGATATTTTATCAATATTAATGAAATATTATCAAGTACTTTTCATTTAAGAGATGTCTATAAGATATTCTGAAAATATTTGGATTGGATTCAGAAAATATTATAAATAAATGATATCTACTATATATACAGTACATAGTGTCCAGATTCTGCAGAACCCGTATGGTTTATACATGTAACGTGATTTCACGATTTACATTATAAAAATGATTTTTTACATGATTACAAAATATTTAATGATAGAAAGTATGCTTAATTAAAAAAAATCTATTGAAAAATTAAATTTAAAAAAACCGGATGATCAAATTTAAAATTCTGTAACTTTGGGATGCGATATCTAGATATCCAACTGTCCAATTTGGACATTAATAGAACCATTCGATTCAACTAAACTAGACGAAGCCAATGCTCCTATTTCTGTCCAAATTGGACAGTCAGATGTCGAGATATCGCGTCCCAAAGTTGCCGAATTTTTTAATTTTTTTTTAAATTTGGTCATCACTTTTTTTGATTTATAGAATTTGCAGTAATTACTGTAGCATAATGCTGGGCAGAAACGCATTAAACTGGACACTCTGACGGCATATATTAAACAATAAAATATTATAAGTTTCAATAATATTAATAATTTTTATTTTTGGTTGTCAACAAGCGATTTTAACTCATTTATTATTCTCAAGCCTAAAAAGTCTTCAAATGTCGGAGATGCATCAGCAGCAGAAGAAACAGATGTGCTAGAATTCCTTCTTTAAGGTAGCTTTGAGCTCGTCCACGGTTCCTGGAAAGCTTTCGTGCTTTTGAATATTATTCTTAAATAGCTTCCAAATATTTTCTATAGGGTATACCATGCGCGTACAGTTCAGCTTATAGTCACGTGACGTATAAATATCGAAAAATAACAAAAAATTGAATTTGTAAAATAGCTGTATTTTTTTAATTTCTTTTTTTCTTGTATTGCTAAATTATCAGTTAAATCAGATAAAGATAAATGAGTATTGTTATTACATAATTATTAATTTTGATTTCAGTAAGAGCTCTACTCAATTTGAAATTAACACAGATAATGCTGATATTACCTGAATAAAATGAAACATTCTTGTATTTAACAAACAGAACTATATCTTGTATATTTTCAATATCCATTTTAATAAGATCTGTATTGTATTAATTCGTTTGAAAACTAACAAATATTATTAGTATTATTATATTTTATAAATATTTAATATAAGGTAAAGCATGGAAGAATTATGCAATGGATTTTTTTGTAAAACTCCGTATCGCGTTTCTGCTGTACATTTCCCCCTAAATCTGACACGGTTCCAGTGAAAGCCTGATTCGATACTTCGATTCTATCAACACATTGGATGTATCTAGATAATTTGCTCAAAACGGTCAATAAAAAAATACGAATTCATTTAAAGATGTTTTCACGATACACTAAGCATATCACTAACATTTAAAAATAAGTTGTATTTTTTTTTTCTTTATTAAATAGTGCTAATTTTACCACTATAATTTTACAAATACAGAGACTTCTAATTAAATTTTTATATAATCCTAGTATCTTCGAATCTATGGTGATAGCATAATGTTTATATCTAACTAATGCAAAATTTTGAATTGTGTACAGTATATAAAGAATGCACAATGAATTTAGTGCAATTATTGTGAATGAAATTAATGCCAGTTAAATTGATTTGATTTTTGTTGACTTCACGCATGATGACGAATTGGTTTGATTTTTTTTTGATGAATTTGTGCTGTATTATGAGTTGGTTGATGTTTTTGACAGTTAATATCTTTTGATTTTTATTCATGATGATGCATAATAAATTATATTACATTTATTCAAGTTAATGAGTTAATATTGACGTTCTTGACAAATCAGTGTCTTTTAGTTAATTATAATATTGACTTGCATTGACTTTCATTGATTTTTATTTGATTAATATCATTGATATATATAATACAGTGATTGTCATAAGTAATGAGAATTGAAAGTGGCACAAACCGTACATAGAAAAAACTTGACTGTGTACAGCATGTACAGCCACGTTTTAATGACGGTTTATTTATCAATGTGACATAAAAACAAACCTAAAAAAAAACAATCCTTAGTTTTCCCTCTTTTTTTCATTACAAATGAAAGAAACCCCAATTATTAACCAACGAGAGACTGTAAGTCACCTTTGGAAATGTGGTGTCTGTGATGCCCCAACTTTAGCAAAAAAAGTGGTGTTTCCCTCTCTACAGCATACAAATATGTCACTCAACTAAAAAAAAATAATAAACTCAAGCCTATTTCTCACCTGGGACATCCTACAATTTTAACTTCTCAAGATTGACATGCATTAGGAAGAATCATTACAAATGACAAGTATCTTATCTGTGGTGAAATTGCCACAAAACTTCAATCCAAGGTTGAAATATCCACACAAACAATAAACTGTGAGCTTAATAAGCTTGAATATCATTCAAAACTTCCAAAAACCATGCCTCTGCTTTCAGAAAAACATCATCTAGCTCAAGTGGAATAGGTGAAAAAATATTGCAAAAAAAACTGGAAAATTATAGTATTCTCAGATGAAATCATATTTCAAATATTCTGAAATACTATAAATGCATTTTACAAAGATGGAATAAGTATTCCACAGAAGGGGATTCCAAAACATCCAGAGAAAGTTTATGTTTGGAGTGTATTTTCTGCACGTGAAACAATTAGCTTTCATATGTTTATCCAAAATATGAATGTAACATTTTATCACGAAATTTTAACTAATAATCTTTTTGAAAATGCATATAGAATTATAGAAGAATGTTGGATCTTTCAACAAAATAATGACCCAAAACATCAAGCCATGGAAATAAAAGTATTTATTTATCATTAAGTTCCAAAGCTCCTTGAATGGCCATCCTATAGTTCTAATCTTAATCCAATAGAAAATCTTTGGGCAATTATCAAGAAAAGGGTAGAGAAATGAGTCAATAAAATAGTTTGAAAAGAAAAATTGATTAGCATTAGTCATTGATATGGATTAATTAGGAAGAAATGGGAGGATATTATCATGGACTTGCGTCTTAATCTGGTAAAGAGAATGTCAGGTCATGTAAATGAGATAATTGAAAATGATAGAAAAAAAATAAACTATTAATGTATATATATTTTTTGAACGCCTATATTTAATCTACATTTCTGTAAAACTATAAGTTAAATGAATAAAATTTGCAAAATTTATGATCATAATAATGATTCTCATTACTTATAATAATCACTGTATTATGCAATAATTAAATCTATGTAAAATCAATCAACTTCTGTTACACATCCAAATCTTATCAAGTATCACTCAATAAGATTGAGATCTGATACTATCTCTATAATTTATAAGTATTATATCAATTACTTCTTTCTCTTAATCTCTTATTATATTTATCTATTATTATAAGATTATTTTGTTAATGATTGTAAACAAGATAAAATATGATATGAACAGTTTTAATTTTATAACTTATAATTATTTTTATTATTTAAAAGTATTCAGATCTGAAGTAAAAATACAGAACAGAAAGATCATATTTATAGCAAAAGAAATCAATACAAAATATGAATTAATTAATATGAATTTCTAATTTAAATTATATATAGATTTAATAAAATTAATTAACTTAATTCACATCTCTAAAGAGCAACTAATTATAATCTAATAATTAATAATATGATAAATAATAATATAAATAATAATTAAAAAGAATAAATAAAAATATAAAGAAATTATTAAAGAAAAATCTAATTAAAAATATTAATAATCTAAATTAATAATTATAATATATATAATGATCATCTGCATGACAATGTATTAAATCTAATATATTAAATGCATAATAATCATCTGTGTATTCAGAATAAAATTGATCTTTATAAAATATAATACAGAAGCTAATCTGCTATACAGATAGTGCAAAATAAAGATCTGAGCTAAAGAGAAATAATCTATTCAAAAATTATTACATATTCCTTTATTTAAAGTATAATATTCTTATTATATT